ATGACAACATGGTCTCACAAAGAGAAACAAAAGTCAGACTTTCACAGACCAGAGTGGATTTAAGGAAAGACATAAATTTAGTAGCATACAATCAGCATTTTAAATAAGTTAATAGTAAACTAAATAAAGTTAATAATACTAATATAGAGTTCCACTTTTCACTGGAGCAAATTTTCTCCCATTAATGTTTTGTTGTGCAACTTTACAAACGTTTGTAGCAACAATTCTTTCTGTAAGAAAGTTTTCAGGAAACTCAACTTTTTTCTTGACTGAGCTTCAAATAAAAATATTTTACCCAACAGAATAATTGTATTTATTATGTGGGCGCAGCAACATTAAATGTTTAGGTGTATTAGATTAATATTAAACAGTCAAATGATGATCAGACTCATTTGTCTATTTATAAAACAAAACACACAATATAATTTCTCATTCTTATTTCATTTATAACGCTACAACCATTTCATTGTATATTGTATATATTTCAGATTGTCTATTATTTTATTATTTTTTTATTTTATTGTCTACTTTAATATTTTATTTTATTTTATTTTAATGTCTACTTTAATATTTTATTTTATTTATTTCATTGTCTATTTTAGTATTTTATTTATATCTTCATCTTTATCTCTTGTTTCCATTCATGCTGTATTTCTATTTCTACTTTGCACGGAGCATTGGAACAAAAACAATTTCTGAATCTGAAATAATGTAAATATGGTAAATATTAAACTTTAAGCTGAGACTTGTTCCCTTAATGCAGGACTTTAACTTGTAATGGAGTATTTTTATTCTGTGTAATTGGAGTAAACTTTACTTTGACAAACTGATGTGTGTAAATGTGGAGAATCAAACTTCAAATATTTAAGTCAAACCGTCCAAACTGCAGCAGCTGATCTGAGTGTAGTGATGTATGATGGACACAAGGGGGCGCTGCTGCACCACTGTGTTCACAGACAGGTCTGGATATCAGCAGAATAAGTCAAATATTTACACAGAAACTTATTTATATGGAAAATATAATATTGTAGCTGAAGTCTGGCGTTAAAGGAAATTATTTTATTTCATTGAAGACAACAGGTGTAAAAAGTAATTAAAATTTAGTTTGGAAACATTTGAGTCGAGTGTTCACGACTGTTTCTCTCATGATTTTTATTATGACATTATTTTTATTAATTGTTTCGTCTCATCAGGAGATAAATTCAGAGATTCAGTCTGAAATGAAAAAGAAAATCTTCACATTAAACCTGAGAATTACTAATGAATTGATTTATAAATCATCAGAATTATCAGAGACTATTTTCCTGTCGATCAATGAATGGATTATTTATGTCTCATGTTTGTACGTGTCACACATCACAGACAGGATATAGACTCTAAAAGACACTCAGATGTCCAGCTGGAGGCCTCGTCCTCCTGCTCTACCTGTCCTCAGGTGACTCAGGACACACCTGGACTGGTTGCACTGGTATTTACACTGTAGTGTGTCACAGTAACATGTTATCTTTAATTACTACCTGACATCATGAGAAGTAACCAACAGGGTGTTTACAGCTCCTGAAATACTCTTTGAATTAAACTGTGTAAATATAAACAGCCTTAAACGTCATTCAATAGTTTTAAATTTAAATTTGTGAAGTTTTAACCACAAACATTTTTCTTATTTAACTGATCTGCCTTTTAATGTCTTTATGTCAAATAAAGTCAAGCTCTGCACGGCACAACATATACACTGCTCACCTTTATATATTTATATATTCAAATACTTTTTACCTTACTCCCTACATTCATACATTTATATATACTGATATATCTATAGCCTATGTGTGTGTGTGTGTGGATATGTGAGGAGGTCGCAGTGAGGATGTGTTGTCTGAAACACTCTGTAAATAAAAATCTGTTATAAATACACAGTGCTCTCTGGGAAATAAACTACCTGAAAGACAATACAGTGAAAAAACTATTAAATAATTGAAACATATACTGTGACTGACTCACGTGTTTAACAGCAGAAAACAACTGACAACAGAGAGAAACAGTGAGCTGGAATAAGAGCTGATGGTCACTGAGACAAACCTGAACATGAAGTGACAGAACATTTAAAAAATGTAATGATGTTAATGTTATTTTTCTCTCTTTTTTATATTTCACATTTTTGCTTTGTTAATATCACAATTTGTCAAAACTTGAAACAAGTCAAAGAACATGGGAAACATGTCTTTACTGCATATTTGTCTTGTGGTTTTACTGATGGACCTTCAACAAACACACGAGCTGGTGAAGCTACTGAAACTAGCCTCTGTCTGTCGGTCACATGACCTTTGTCTTGTGAGTTCTTGTGCATTTTTCCAGCGGTGGATGAAGCACCTGAACGCCACACTTGAGTACAAGTACAGATATCTCACCAGGAAATGGCTTTGGTGGCCTCCAGGTGAAAGTATTAGAGTATTACTTGAGTGTCTGATATTTACTGCACTTAAGAGTCTTTTTATTACATCAAATTCAATCAAGTATTGAAAAACTATTTGTTTTTCTTTGTAACATGACCACCACCTTAAGACTGGAGCGTATGCTACACCTGAAGAAAGACACTGGGCAGACGCAGGGGCGTAGATAAGGACAGTTCAGGCAGTGCGACTGCTCTGGGGCCCCTGGGGTGGGGGGGCCCGTAGAGAGAGCGGGCCCCTGCAAGTGATCCAGATTGCCACCTCGGAAATAAACCTGTGTTCAAAGATAAATGATAAAATATATATATTATTCATTTAAAAACATTTGCTATATATGTCCTGAAAAAGTCGAACCAATCCGTGTCATGGCTTTCTGTCTTCTTTTTTTAAATAGTCAGTAATTATATAAAACAAAACTATATGCTTTTTCTACATAAGCTATACAATCTATTAATATACTATAAAAATGAACAATTAAATGATTCATTTCTTACTTTCTTTGATATGTTTGTCAGATACGCAGTGATGAGCCTATATTTGAGACAGGCCTTTAATTCCTTTCACACAAAACACTTGTTCAGCAAAGATCAGGACATACAGTCAAATTGTTGATATGAATATTACTGTAGAAAAATAAGGCTTCAGATAATAAATCAATCATGAATTATTCATTTGATTGAGCTCCGACAGAAAACAAACTGCTTGGTAACCAGACCAGGCTTCTATTTGAGACGGGCCTTAATTTGTCTGAATGTGTAGCCGCAGCGGGTCGGTAAAAGGGACTGGGTGTTTCATGGGACGAAGCTTTTAATCGATGTTTTAGGGCATGTTGATGTTGTCACAAGTCAAATCTCTGAGACAATACGTGCACAGTAGCGTGCACTAAAACAAGTCGTAACTTCCTTACACCACCGGCCAAACCTTTTAATTTATTTGTAACGACATGACGAAAATGCCTACGACATAGAAATACATGGAGTAAATACTTTTACCAAAATGTGTTGAAGTGTACCGGAGTAAAAATGAAAGTTGACAGAAATGTAAAAACTCAAGTAAAGTACAGATGCTCCAAAAAACTACTGACGTATCGTAACAAAAAGACTTCATTCTTCAGAGGATCCAATAATGTTTGAGACAAAAAAAAATTTCAGACAGATGTTATTATTTAATTAATTACGTTTGATGCTACTACTGTAAAATTAAAAACAATAATAAACATTTGAACTTTTGGCATCCTGAGGACCCCGTATGTTTTCACATTTAAAGGATCTGTTTCAGAATAAATGTCTGAAATTATTAAACCAATTTTACTCCAGAGGATTGTTTGTAAACAAGATGATCTGCTCTGATATTAAAAGTGAAACACCTCAAGAATATTAAACCTGACAGACGACATACACGTACGTGTTTACGTACACTGTGTAATGTTCTGTGTGATCTGATGTAAATTTTTGTAGATTATATTTCTTCTCATGTCGTACCCAAATATTTTACCGCGAAGCTGTCGAGCTTTTTGAAACTAAAAGTAAATATTCAACTTCACGTGGAAAATTATTTTTTAAAAATCCGATTTTTCTTTTAAATGCAAAGCAGGATGCCCCCTGCTGGTCTGGAGATGAACTGCGCCACAGTTATGGTCACGTGTTTCTCTGCAGTTTTATTGATGTGTGAAAAATAATAAAAGACACAGATATTGTTATTTTTAAAAAGAGATTTTGTCATGATTTGATGAAAGGACAGAAAATAAACGTGTATGCAGATGATGATTGATTATTTACATATTGAGTATAAATGAAAATTAAATATAAATAGACTTTTTACTTTAAAATATAAAAAATTGCATTTTTTTCATCTTATTTTAAACCTCTAAAGTTCATTAAAGTTAATTAAAGTAATATTTAAATTACATTTAACTTCTAATGATTTATTTTACTCATCAATAAGCACTTGATTATATATATCGTTTTAATTATAGTTTTGGTTATAACAACTTAAAAACATCTGCTGACTTTTAAATCTTTTATAAAAACAAAAAAGTCAATTTAACATCAGATTTTTTTTTTTTTTAAATAAAGATTGTCATATTTTGATGAAATGAAAGAAAATCAAACTGAAGATGATTAATGTTACAGGTTGAATATTAATGAAAATTAAATTCAAATAGACTTTTTTCTTTTAAATTATAAAAAATGCATGATTTTTTTGTCAAAAACATTTAAAGTAGCTACATTAATGTGTCAAATTACTTTTAACTTCTAATTATTTATTATACTTAATGAGCACTATTATATATTAAATAAATTATTATCTTTGTTATAACAATTTAAAACATCTGCTGACTTTTAAAGCTTCTTTTATAAAAACCTTATTAAACATTATTTAATCCTGTAAACCGGAGCGGAGCTGCTGAGCCAATCAGGATCCTCTCCGAAAACCAGACGGCCCTACGTCACGGTCAGCTCAGCCAATGAGAGCAGAGACACCCCCCCCAGCTCTGCTCTCCTCTAAAGTTTGGGCTGAGAGCTAATAGACACAACAGATGATCATGTTTTATTATCTCACACAACTTCTTCAACTCAGCACACAAAGTGTCTCTCTGTGCTCCTGGTCCGGACCTGGACCCGATCCGGATCTCTGTCAGCTCCTCCCGCGGTGCACGCGCCTCTTCCCGGGGCTTCTTTCTGCAAGTTAGGATTTTGGATTTTGCTGTGAGCTCGAGCCTGAGATGGACTTTGACTGTGACTCCAGAGAGCAGCGGGTCGTGCTTTAGTTGTAGTCTGGACTCTGTCAGGTGCGCAGGGCCCCAAAGACCCGCAGAGACCTGCTCCAGCCGGCCCCGGATCCTGCACAGAAGTGGTCCTGATGTTAGCGGTGGGTCAGATGGACGGGTCCCGACAGAGCGCCTTCCTCCTCAGCACCCCTCCGTTAGCAGCTCTGCACAGCATGACCGAGATGAAGACCCCGCTGTACCCGGCGTACCCGCTCTCCTCCACCGGCCCCAACTCCTCTACCTCACCGGCCACCACCTCTCCGAACCCGGGCGGCATGGCCGTGTCCTCCCCGGGGATCAAGAGCTCCACGGGGCTGTCCTCGGGGCTCGGCTCCCCGCAGCAGTGCTCCTCCGCCACCCCTCACGGAATAAACGACATCCTGAGCCGGCCCACCGCCGCCAGCACCGGCGCCACGGTGGCTGTGGCCGCCGCCGCCGCCGCCGCCGCCTCCTCCTCGGCGGGGATCCTGTCGGGGCTGCCCCGGTTCAGCAGCCTCAGCCCGCCGCCGCCTCCCGGACTTTACTTCAGCCCCAGCGCCGCCGCGGTGGCGGTGGCCCGGTACCCGAAACCCCTGGCGGACCTCCCGGGCAGGACGCCGATCTTCTGGCCGGGAGTCATGCAGAGCCCGCACTGGAGGGACGCCAGATTCGCGTGTTCACCCCGTGAGTGCGCGCGCGGACACGTCTTAATCACAATAATTAAAATAAGCAGAATAAAGTGAGACTCGCTGCGGGCCGAGGTCAGGCCCGTGTGGAGCGTCTCTGAGGCCGAGCCGCAATAATCTGAATTTATCTGCTCATTAATAAATAACATTAATCAATAACTGTGTTTGTGTTGTTTCAGATCAGAACTCCGTGTTACTGGATAAAGACGGGAAACGGAAACACACGCGACCCACGTTCTCTGGACAGCAGATATTCGCTCTGGAAAAGACTTTTGAACAAACTAAATATCTGGCGGGGCCGGAGAGAGCGCGCCTGGCCTACTCTCTGGGCATGACCGAGAGCCAGGTCAAGGTAAACCTGCACACACACACACACACACACATTACACATGATCAATTATAATTTCCCTCCGCGTGCATGTGTCCTTTTTAAAACCTGTTTTAATTCCACGTTAGAAAAAATAAATGTGTAAATGCAAATGAACGCTTTTTATTTTTAAACATTTATGTGTGATATTTTTCTGCTGCATGTGATTGAGTTTATTTCTCAGGGTCTAATGTGACGCAGGAGGCCGCGTGCACGAGCTGCTCCATATTCACTGCAGCATTTCATTTAAAACATGTTAATATTTATAATTATTTCATAACGCAGAGTGAATCCCAGCAGCTTGACACATAAAATGAAGGTGTGTGTGTGAGTGTGTGTGAGTCTGTTGAGGTGGAAAGTGACCGGCGCTCTGCGGGTGTGTGTCGCAGGTCTGGTTCCAGAACAGACGGACCAAGTGGAGGAAAAAGCACGCGGCGGAGATGGCCACCGCCAAGAAGAAGCAGGACTCTGAGACCGAGCGGCTGAAGGGCACCTCGGACAACGAGGACGAAGACGACGACTACAACAAACCTCTGGACCCGAACTCGGACGACGAGAAGATCACACAGCTGCTGAAGAAACACAAGCCGGGCTCGGCGCTGCTGCTGCACACGTCGGAGAACGACAGCTCCTAATTCTTGGTTTCCGTTTGTGGGAAATGACACTGAACTCCCGGAGTCACAGCTCAAGATGATTTTTTTCTGTCTCTTTTTCCTTTTGTGCACGCGGACGGAGGACTTCCTGTCGGGACGAACACTTTGTGGCCCCTTCAAAACGAGAAAGTCAGAAAGTTGTAAATAGAAACGTGAGTTGTGTCCGATAGAAATTATCCTGCTGTGAATCATTCATGTGTAAAGACAGATTTTGTACAGATCAGCTAAAGAAAACAAACAAACACTTTTAGTTCGTTTTGTATTCACAGAAACAAACAAACAAAAAAACCTTCGACAGGTCCGCGAAGGCCTCTTCACCCGCCCCTGAACGCACCACACGCACCTGTACATACAGCCGAATATTTCCTCACATTTTTATTTATATGTCTGAAGTTGTGAGTGAAGCCTGCAGCTGTGTATCATGGCGGGTCAATGTAATGCACTTTTATTTAATAAAAACTCAAATGTTTGCTTGTTGTTTTCAGCCGGAACATTTTAATTAATACACGTGTTTAATTCATTAATGACGGCATTGATTAATGAATTCATTTAACGGGCAGAGCGGTCGATAAATCATCTGCTTTAATCGAATATTTTAATCAATATTAATTATTTAACCCCCGTTAGATTATTACGCGATGCTGCCATCACATATCTAATTATTATTATTGTTATTATTATTATTATTATTATTATGGGACTCGCTGCTGAGATCATGTCAGGCCTTTTCTGTTTTATTTAATTTTCTTTTTGTTTTTTAATTTATTTTACAGATATTTTTTAAACTCTGAAACATTGCTGAGAGGACTTTAAAGCACAGGTTTTAAAAAAGCGGAAATTTGCGCTCAAACGAAAAAACATCCAGATTTTATTTATTTTAAAAATAAAAATCGCGACAATTTAAATTAAATGTTGAGAAGAGGAGGAGTAAAAAAAAAAAAAAAAAAAGCCAATAAGTTGTCGGTGTGAAGCTTCACGGTTTCATCAGCAGCTCGTTTTCTCCCAAATTGAAAGTCAGTGAAGCGACCTGCAGCCAGCTGATCTTTAATTCATCACATGTGGATCCGGATGTAACTGCTGCTGCGGGTCACGTGTCTCATCACAACACCACTCTGAAAATAATATTTATGAACGAAAGATATTAAAGTTATAAATGAAATGATGTGCGGATGATTTGGGTTGTGATAGACCGGGGTGTGCGCGCTGTCTGAGCCGGGAACAGGCGCCTCTGTGCCGGCTGCGATCAGCTCCTCTCCTCGGGGTCTGGAGCTTTAATGACCTGGAGACTTTATCAGCTGCGATCAAACATTGATGACACGTGATGGCTGTTTTAACTCTTTGTGACGCGTTTCCTCTCACACACCACGATGATGGAATAATATTAATATCGAAAAAATAATTTGTCTTCTTAAAAAAATCTTTTTCTTTTCTTGGCTTCGCTAAAACCCAAAATGCGGAAATCAAAGTGATGACTGTTCACTCAAACTGCACAAAACACAAACAAATATTTTTATTATAACACAGAATAACGAAATATCTCATGTTTGATATGAACAAATATGTTTTAATGAGACATTTCTAACCTCCCCGCTCACCTTTAATGCACAAACTGTTGTATTAACAGAAATATAATCATGATTTTAGAGGTTTAATGTCGCCTTAAAACATTTATCACAGATATATTTGATTTTTTTAACTCAAACAGAAGACGTGTAAAATCATGTGTCATGAAATTAACAAAATCCTGAATTTGTTCTCTGATATTTTAAATAACACCAGGGTTCATAAGATTTATTCTGCCTGATTGTTTTTTTATTAATTCATAATTTAGAATTTCAGTCGTGTTTTATTCAGCTGTTATTTTGTTCTGAAGCTGCGAAACATTTAGACCTTCATGGTTTTTATTTTATTGTCTTTCTAAAATGTTTTTAATGGCATTTATTATCAGGTTAATGTGAACAGAAATAATATTCCACAATTCACCATACACACAAACAACATGCTACAGGCTCAATGTAATAATAATAATAATAATAATAATAATAATAATATATACAACACCCTTCATGCAAGAAATGCAGCTTAGACAGAAAGGAGATAAAACAGACCAACATGACAGTTGAATAATATAAATTATTCCTTCACATGCAGCATGTAAATCCTGTTAATTCAATTTATAATTCATTTAATCTAAATAATGAATTCAAATTAAATAGTAATTAAATTAAAGCACATTTTCTTGTCGTCCTCAAGCTTCATCTTCAAACTGTGACTCAGCAGTTTGTTTATGACCCGACGTTTTTCTTCTTCTTTATTTGAGCTGAAATCAAACAGCAGCTTTTTTAAAGGATGGTTTAAAGTTAAGTTGTTTTATTAGTGTGCCGTGCAGAGCAGAGTCAGAGGCAGCCGTCTGAGCTGAGAACATAATCTGCTGCTGCTTCACAGTGTTTTCACCTCGACATCATCGCTGTAGATTTTCAGATGTGAATAATTGTCTCAGAGCTGAGGAGCTGCAACATGACGACCCCTGAGGGTCATCCTGTGGCCCCTCACAGGCTCCTGACCCTCAGGTTGGGAACCTTCGTCCTGCATAGAGGAATACAACAAAAAATGTGTTAAATTTATTCTTTCATTTTAAATATAGTGACACCAAGAAAAACCAAAAATCATAAAACAGAGCTGAAAAAAACTTTTTTTTGTTTTAAATCTCTGAAAATCTTTTTGTCAGACAGAAGGAGACATCTGAAGACGTCACGTTGGGCTCTAAATGTTGATGATAAAAATAGTTTTATTACATTTAGAAAGACAGTCGTTGGTCCTAACTGATTTATTTGAATTTAGGCACAACAGGACTTAGAATGAAAAAATAATCTGTCCTCCTTTATGAGATTCACCACCTCATCTCGGCTGCTCTGCACACGTTACACTCCGTCAGCCTTCGGACAGAAATGTGAAACATTGAGCTGATTCTGTGATTTTCTCTGGTGTCTGTCTCAGTGAGCTGAACGTCTGAGGGTAAAATGAGACATCTGAAGACTCATAACAAACGTTTTCACCTTCTTCTGCCTTTTTATAGAAACAAAAACATTTAATGAGAAATATTTGACACAGTGAGAGTGAGGCCATCAGGTCATGATGTAAAAACAAACAGGAGAAATCAGTCGAAAGAATAAAACCAATAAAATCACAAATCAGAACATCAGGACAAAAAATGAATGCGTCAATAATTATAATCCAATAATACAGATTATTCTGCATTATTTCACTCTTAGCTGAGCATTTTGAGCTCCTGCACTGTGAACGAGTTATTAACAACCTGAACCAAGACTTTGTTTATCTGCAGCATGGATGGATTACTGACACTGCCTTAAGAGGGCCCGACAGGTCAGGGGCCCCTGAGCCAGAGCCTCTGTGTGTCGCTGGGTTAATCACATATATTATTTTAAATTCTATTTTATATTTTGCCAACGAAACACAGCTGTATCTCCTGTGTCCTCTGATAGTTTCCTCTGATATTTAGTACCGTGTCTGACAGTGTTCGGTATCATATTATTACATCTGGTGAAGTTTATGTGTCTGCCGTGGATGGATTACTGAACAGGTCTACTGGGGATCAGCCCAGGGGCCCAAAGTGTCAGGGGGCCCCTGGCCTTCATTTGTAAAATGTCAAACATCAAATTAACCAATGTGTCCTCGCACTATGGTTCGTCTGATATCCTGCAAAAATGCCAACCTACAGTTCGTAACATGTCCAACAAAATAGTGTCCTACGGATGATGCTCCGTCCTTAACGTAAAGATACGGAGGTTTGGTTTGAAAAAAGAAAAAAAAAAAGATTCAATGTTCAAATGTTTCTGAACACTCAGCACATCCTCACTGTGACCTCGTCACATGTCCACTTTTGGTCATGGACTTTCCACGTCCACATATGACGTCCAAGGTACCCTGGGTGTGTTGGTTGTTGACGTTCTGGGACGCCGTGTCAACTTCAGCCTGTTACATGCATTGTCTGTTTTCAAAATACACTTCTGTTTTCACAGGAAATGTACAGTTTGCATACAGTCTCTTTCAAAATAAAAGCACTACGTCAGTACAACACCGCAAATTCATGTTTTGTGGTTGAGTATTGGAAAAAGGAACAGGGTTTGGCTTTAGAACCTTATGTGACACGAGCACCACTTGGTGAAAGCTGGTCGTTACTGGATCCATCTGCCTCTCCTGCTGCCTGCCTTTGTTGATCCTTCGCCGCGTTAGCTGTCGTCCTTGTCCCGTCATGTTTCCCCCTGACACCGCTGGGCACCGTTAAACCATAACAGCAACCGACAGCATATCATGCCAACGTGAAAGGATGCCTTTTTCGTCGTTTCTGATTTTGATGACTTCTGAGTAAGACCAGGCTTGTTCTGTGACCCTTCCACCACCCCAACCTGCCCACTAACTGGACCACTGCCTTCTTTACTCCCATCAGCACATTGGTCACATGATCGCACCCTTCCAAAATACAATGGTTATGCATGAATTACTGCTTCATCATTACAGAGGGTATGTAAGGATTTTGATGTATTACTTTTCGTAGGAAAACGTACAAACAGTGCATGAGAGCAGAATGAATTAATACATACTGATCAGGAAGAGACGCAAACTCACCCCAAAGAGACGCAAAACAAGGAAACACAAAACCACAAAGATACATATCTACAAAGAGACCCCAAACCACCACATAGTCCATATGTCTTGCTCCTGTGTAGGAGAGCTGGTGGGGCCCTTTGTATATCTCTGCTCAGGGGCCCCCTGTCTCTGAACTGTCTCCATCCATGACTTGATATTCACAGAACAGCCAACACATTCTCACTCACACATATTGACGTTGGGTCTTTTCAAAATACACTTCCGTTTTCACAGGAAATGTACAGTTTGCATACAGTCTCTTTCAAAATAAAAGCACTACATCGGTACAACACTGTGAATTGACGTTTTTTTTCCTTCAACAATAAAGACACATGGTTGGGTTTAGGAAAACAGAGCAGGGTTTGGCTTTAGAAGTGAACACCAACCTCCTGGGTCAAAGTTAGTGGTTGTTTGAGTTCAAACAGAGGGATCTGTCCGTGTCTGCATCTAACTTTGAGTATAAACAGCATAAGTTTCATATGACCGTTAACTGTGGCAGGTTAAACACGTGGTTAACATTGTGAAACGGTCGCAGTTGACTGCTTGCTCAATGTAGTGTGGCAGAGGCTATTCGTTTTATGAACTGCATATTTGTTTACTTCCTGTCAACCCAACAGTAACGTTACCTCGGCCTCCAACCTTAGCGAACAACATCGTTTATGTTGCTTCTGGATTATTTCTCGAGATTCTAGTGCTAATTTCATCCTACAGTTACTTTACTTTTCACAGTTAGCTACGTATGCTGTTAATAGTATTTACCATTCCTTTTGTATAAAGTGTTTTTGATCATTTTGATAATCA